TAGAGAGAATAGGTTTAGTAGATACTTTGATAATTCTTTCTTGATTGATTGTAACGCAAACTCAAAGTACATATTTATAGGGAATACTAGGAAACCCTAGAATAAACCCAATTCTACTAAAAGACTACTAACCATAATAAGAATTACCCTAATAACAATTATAATAATATATATAGAAACCCGAGATAAATCGGTTTCTAACATCTCCTCCCCCTTCAGACCAACCTTGCCCTCAAGGTTGACCCACTTGACCCACTCCTCCTTCCTTCTCGCGCAATGTGCACGCTGACTCCTCCATTTCTTGCGCTTCCGTTTCTTCTAATCGTGCTCCAACTCCGATATTGGGCTTCTTCCACCAACCTTCTTGTGTTGGTCTTTTTCTTCGACCTTCACTTTCATGGGCCCAATATTCGCGTCCTTGACATATTCGAACTTCGACAGCTCCGCTTTGGTTGGCCTCATAATTCCACAACTCAAGGAACCCAACGATTCGTTCTTGTTCAAGAACCCATCCTTGAGTACCATTTCACCAAGACCTTCATACATTTTTCTTGAAAACAGTCCATAACCCTGAATTGTTGCTTCTTCCATTAATTTTGGCATTTGCTCTCTTGAAAGCTCACCAAATAAGCTTTCAAACCCATCTTCATTTTCCTCCAAGTCCACCCCACATAAAAGAGCTCTGGTCAGCCCAATTACTGTTGGCACAATGCTTCCTTGAGCCCAATTTACACATTCCTCATTAGCTGCTGCTAGCAACTCATAATTGAGCCCGTGAGAGGCCCTTCTCAACGCAAACTTTGGCCCAACAACCTTCATCACACCTGCCAACTTGTGGCCAAACCGCAGCAGCACTCCTCCAACACAGGCGACGCGCGCGGAGGCCTGCCGCCTTTCTTCTTCTCCGTCGAAACAACCCCGCCTGTTGCCGCCTCCTCCCTCCTTGCACCATTCTTTGACAACAAATCCGTATCCGGCAGGGAATATCCCACCAGGCGGCACGGCTGCCAGCTCGCCTCGACCGGTGCTGCTTCCTCAGCATACAACAACGACTCTTCCTCCTCCGTGTTGCTTGCCGCCTCGGTCTCCTCGACTTCGTCGTCCGTCGCGGCTCTCGTCGCAGTCAGATCTTCGTCAACCCAGCCAGCCTCTGCGGTTGGTGGCTGCCTCGCCGTCACGTCGTCACCTCCGTCCTTCAAGTCTTCCGTCCTGCGATGCAATACGTAGGCCTTCCAATACTCCACGATATTCCATAGTTTGTCCTGCTTTTGAGCCCACGTCAGCTCCGAGGTTTTTGGTGACCATGTCATCTCGAGTCGCCGCTCCCCAACCTTCGCGTCACGCTCGGCCAGCTGCGGAGGTAGTGCTTCGTTGGCCGCCTCGGCCGCCGCCTCTTCCTTCAAGAGCGGCAGCTCCTCGGAGCTCCAACGACGGCCGATGCGGCGAGCTTGTTCCCGCAACTCTGCCCATGACAAGTCCGGGAGTCTTGAAGAGCTCATCATCAAACCAGTTGTAGAACTCATCCCCAGTTGAGAGTTGTGATGATCTCAATTCTCGAACCGGGCTCTGATACCAAATGTTAGAAACAAAGTTTCTAATGGGTTTAGGATTGTGTGATATTTGGGATTTTAGGGATTGAGAAGGTAGAATTAGGGATTTGGGAGAAGAATTGGGGAAGAATAAAGAAGAATGGCCGACGGTCAGGTTAGGAAGAGTAGAGAGAATAGGTTTAGTAGATACTTTGATAATTCTTTCTTGATTGTTGTAGCGCAAACTCAAAGTACATATATAGGGAATACTAGGAAACCCTAGAATAAACCTAATTCCACTAAAAGACTACTAACCATAATAAGAATTACCCTAATAAAAATTATAATAATATATATAGAAACTCGAGATAAATCGGTTTCTAACATTTTGCTGTTACATCATCACCATTGTTGTTCTTACACTATGCTCCATACGTGTTGTACGACAAGACGGTACCGCTTTAGCCAAAATGCTGCACCTTACCCTTCAGGATCAACACACTGTCGTTTTACCTCAATCATCCTTCTAAGTCTTCAACAACAGTCTCGAGCATCCTCTCCATTGTCCTATCTGCTTCTCGACGATAGGCTTCTCGTGATTCTCCAAAAGCAGTCGCCCCTCTATAACACCTCTCTACTGGAGCTCATGATGGCTAGAAGGAGATTTTGCTCTATGGAAGCTACTCATGATCTTTGCAGGTCTCTCTGTAAACAGTCACTTCTCTAAAAGCACTATAAATTCTAGGGTTCTTGTATTGTTTAAAACTTGGCAGTCTGTAGTGAGAGGAATTCAAATGTCTCTTCCTACATTGGGTCCTTTATTTGCTTCAGTTAGGGCTGAAAGTTACCCTGACCCTGCCCTGAACCTGTCTGAACCCGCCCCTGAAGGGTCAAGATGTATAACTGATTCGACCCGCCCCTGTTTCCTTCTTGACCTTGTATGACTCTCGCGGGTCGGGTCAGTGGGTCGACCCTTATCAACACACAAATTTTTAACAAATTATATTTTGGTACCCAAAATTATTTTTTCTTACAATTTAGTACCTAAATTTTATTTTATACAAATAAATCCATAAACTTTGATGGAAAAATTATGTTTTGGTACCAAATTTATTTATTTTTACAATTTAGTACCTAACCTTTTAACATTTTACAAACATGTCCAATGTGTTTGTATGTGGAATTTCATATTTAAGAACTCATGCTCCGAACTTCCATCTTACTCTTCTCCATATTCGTTCTTCTACTATCAGTTGCCGGAAGTTATAAACGAATCTGGATAACATTTCAGTTTGGATTGTAATAGGGTCTTCTGGGAGCGCGACCCCGCTCCCCCTGATGGGGGACTCAGCAGCATCATGCAAATGGTGCTGTCAATAGGGTTCAGCTATCTACAAAGCAACCGTAACTTCCAAATGATTACTAAATACTTTATTCTTTATATAATAAAATTTCATTTTTTAAATTTCAACTACCACCCATTTATATTTTACAAAATTTTGTCCTTATTTATATTTAATATCCTACTAAACAGTCATTTATGAACTGATTGCCTGTTCGATTTCAAAGCATGTTATTTATGTAACTCAAAATCTAAAGAACTCTTTTAACACTTTTAGATAAAATCAATACGAGTTTAAGAAGCAAATAAACCAATAGATATGATAGATTACTTTTGTGCTCACCATCAACTGAGCTAATCATCCATTCCTTTCAATCCAGTGAACAACTCATCATTCTTAAAACAATGATAACAGTTTTCAAAGTGTCGTAGGAAGAAAAGAGTCAGAAAGGTGACCGAACTCACTAAAACAAAATCGAGTAAGCATAACAGCTAAATTTATATTTTGGATGAAAACCCGAAAAAATTGGGTGATAAATGGACTTCTGTTTATATAATAGTTATATATATGTTTTAAATATAAATGAATTGTAGTACTATGGAAAATATGTACTCAGAGAATGATAGTGCCACAAGTCCGAAGCATAACTAGTATTTTCCATAGTGTATGGTTTCCTTTTATTAATGAGACAAAATTTGTTACTCCGATTATTATAATTCTTTAAATATGAGAAAATAAAATACGAATGAGAAATTAAAGAGGGGAGCTTGTGATATTTAAGAGACTTGAAGACACTTAACTAACATTTGTTTGTTAATTACTTAATTTTATTTTGATAAAACATTTGTTATTTTGGGGAATGGATCAGGTCAGTAACCTTATGGTGAGTAACCATGAGTAACCCGTCCACATCAGCATGACATCAGCATCCTCTCTCTCATAGAAAGCCTTTAATTTTTCCCTCTTTAATCTTTAACGGACGATTTCTCGCTCATTTTAAGTCAAAATTTAATTTTTTTTGCACAGTTAGATCAAATTAATTGCGCTCTTCAAAATGATATCCACTTTAATATATTTTTCGAACAAAAAAAATTGAGCCATTTTTTACCGGTCTATACCATATGGTATTGACTGGTATTGAAATAAAAGCATACCTATGTTTTGAAAAACGTACCATGGTGGTATGAACAAACCAAACTGTAGGATGGTTGAATACATGATAGTAGAAGTATATTAATTGTAATTTACGACTTTTAACATTGTATACAACACAATACCACCCCGTACCAGGGTGGTATTGTATGGTATTGTGTGGTATTTTTTGGTCCTGTAATTTGTTCACCCAGAAATTTGTAGATCCAATAGATCATGATGAACTCGTCCCTTCTGTGCAAACGTTTTCAAAAACGAATTAAAAACGAAGAAGATACCATACAATACCACCCCGTACCAGGGTGGTATTGTATGGTATTGTGTGGTATTTTTTGGTCCTGTAATTTGTTCACCCAGAAATTTGTAGATCCAGTAGATCATGATGAACTCGTCCCTGCTGTGCAAACGTTTTCAAAAACGAATTAAAAACGAAGAAGATACCATATGGTATGCAGTTGGTACCGAGAGGCCAAAATTTTTCTTTCCTCAAAAAATATTGAAAATTGATCTCATTTTGTAGAGCACGGTGAACTCGTTCCATCTGTGCAAAAAAAATTAAAATCCGAGTTAAAACGAAAAATATATGAGTCAATTAAGAAAGCTAGTGAAAATAAAAATATCCTTTAATTATCCATCACTAGATCTGGATTTTCTAAATGAAGGGTCCAGATTTGGTTATTGATGGGTGCATAACCCATGATTATGCACCCTATCCTGAGCCGTTATTTTGGCTCAAACAATCAATCCTTTCCAATTTTAAGGAAACGCGATCCCAATTTTGTATACCCAAATTAAAAGCAAAAGCCCAACTAGGGCCCATTACCCGGCTACGCGTGTCACGCACGGGTTGACTTGGTCAATGAGACGCGTCCAATCGAATCCAACGTGTAAATTACTTATTACTCACGTTACATGGGTATGGCGGTAAGTATAACCGACTCCCCAACGTTATAGTTTCCCACTGCTATATATTTATAGGCACACTCTTTCGTCGAGGCATTTGTTCTCCCTGGTTGCAGAGATCCTTCTCACTTCTCAGTTCAGAGACGCGTCCCAAAATGAGATCTTGCAAAGGGGGCCGGCGACGAGTTGCTCCCTGCGATTGTTTTTCTAACGGCGAGTAGAGAGTTGCGGTGTGTCTCTCTGAGGCTGTGTCTCCGCTCCATCGGCGTTGCTGTTTGCGGCAGAAATTTCAGAGCGGCATTGTAAGGCTTTTGTCGGGGTTTATCGGTGAGGGAATCTTCATGTTCTTATTGCCTCTTCGTCTTTGCTTTTCTACGCAAATGCTCTTCCGAATTTTATTGAGACCCGTTTCGTCGCTTTGTAAGCCCTAATTCTTACGGTTTGAGATATATGAGCGTGGCTGTCTTTCTTCTTTTGAACCGAAATTGTGGGTGATCAATGAAGGGAATTTGTAAAGGTTGTTGGGAACGCGACTAATTGGTGGTGCAATTCGCATATACTGGCTGTTGTTGGAGTTCTTACAGTCGCAAAATTGATGGTTAGGTTTTTTCCGTTAGATTAATAATCCAGTTAGGGTTTGGGTGCGGGGCCATAACTGTGCCGTCCGTTTGCGGGTATGACTTTGTGAGGAATCCATGTTTATGTTTTGTCGCTTGGTGGAGAAGTCTCCTCTGGTATAATTCCTAAGGTCCCTTCTCTGTTGACTTGAATTTCTTATGCCGGATGGAAAATCTTAGAGCTGTGCGCTCATTCTAAGAGGGGATAAAGCGTATTTATTAAAGCTATACGATAGCACCCAATTTTTCCGATTCCTTTGATGATTCACTTGCTGCAGTCTCAAGTGAATGAGAAGATTTTGCTGAAGTATTCTAATACTACTGTTTTTATGGTTTATAATGACTGATTATGCTTGTCCGAATATTTATGTTGCCATCTGGTGGTTTCATATATTTACACCTATTAAGTTGCTTCATGCACTCTGTGGTCGCCTTGTGTCCCCATTGCAGTCTAGTGATCAACAAATCTGTAGCCATGCTGGTATTAGATGCCCTTTTTTAAGTCCTGGATGAGAACTTTGGAGTGGTTAATCCACTCCAGTTGCCCTTCTGCTGTATATCCTATAATGTGAAAATTACAGGAGTCCTAGAAGGGAATTTGGAATGACTAATAGTAACCAAATAAAATACATGGATTGGTGGCCATGTTTGAGAAATGAACTTGGTCCGAAAGTTGTGTCTCATTGTCCCTACAATTGAAATTGTCTTTAGACATTCCAGTTGCCCTTCTGCTCTAACCTTGCTCAGTAGATGCCCTTACTAGAGTCCTAGATGGGAACTTGGAAGGATTATACGTGAAAAGGCATGGATTGGTGGCCATGTTTGAATAAGAAAGTTGTTTGTCCGAAAGTGAAGATTATTAATCATTCCAGTTGCCCTTCTGCTTTATCTTGCTAAGATAAATTCATAAATAGAGTCTTAGAATGATACTTTGGAATGAGTGAAAGATACTAAAGATATATACATGGATTGGTGGCCATGTTGTTGCTCTAAATCTTGTGTCCCTTTGCTTCTCATTTTCAGACGACCAGGTCAGTTTGTTAACTGAAAGCCCAAGCTCTACATTATGTCAGATTTTGATCTATCGTGTTATGTCCCTCTGTGGGTTACTTTGCAATGATTGTGCTCTAACCTTGCTCAGTAGATGCCCTTACTAGAGTCCTAGATGGGAACTTAGAATGATTATACTCTATGTGAAAAGACATGGATTGGTGGCCATGCTTGAATAAGAATGATGTCTGTCCGAAAGTGAAGATTATTAATCATTCCAGTTGCCCTTCTACTTTATCTTGCTAAGATAAATTCATAAATGGAGTCTTAGAATGGAACTTTGGAATTAGTGAAAGATACTAACGATATACATGGATTGGTGGCCATGTTGTTGCTCTAAATCTTGTGTCCCTTTGCTTCTCATTTTCATACGACCACGACAGTTTGTTAACTGAAAGCCCAAGCTCTACATTATGTCAGATTTTGATCTATCATGTTATGTTCCTCTGTGGGTTACTTTGAAATGATTTTCCCCCTCTGATCCATCTCAGTCTGAATCATTATATCCGTAGACATCTACGAATGAAAAAAGATTTCCAATAGCCATGACAATACTTTGTACTCTTATGGCAGCCCGTGTTCCAATCCTTTTATTTTATTTTATGAATGTGCTGGTTGGTTATTATTTTCTTGGTTTACCTCTATGCATACCTCCAGACAGTTTAAGAAAAGGATAGTAAGTGAGATTATGAGAACCAGCTACTGGAACATGTTCTGTATTTTCAATTGGAAAGTCTGAACTTACTTCGGTTTGCTATTACCGGAGTGTGATAATTGGAAACTAGAGTTTTCTGTGTCATGAATGTGGTTCATCATCAATGCTTACTCTGTATCATGAAAGTACACACTTATCTGTGGTTCGCCTTTGTTGAACTTGAAGTCTTTGCATGTTTACTGGCAAGTAGGTATAGTATCCATTCTATAGCTGCAAAAATAATATGATGGCCGGTAGGATTCATTATGAGTAAGTGAGTGATGAATCTTTTTCTGGCTCTCCTGTAAGAAAATCATTTTGGTTCTGCATAGTGGGTTGCTGCACTTCTGGATGCAGATTAATATGTTGCACTTACATTCATGTAACTTTTCCTTCGCTTGTGGATGCAGATTAATATGTTGCATGCTGATATATACAGGATATAACTTGAATTAGTTCCAATGATTCAGGAGTTAGTTTCTGGATGGTTGATAATTTACCTTCTGGTCACCACGCCATCGGAGTCTTCTGGGATTGAAGATTTTAGTTGTCAACTCTCTTCACTGCATATCGGTAAGCTGATACAATGACCACTTCTGGTAAGATTGTACTAGTGTGGACTACATTGCAGATTACCTTCTGACAGATGTATACTTCCATTACTATGGTGGCTAGTTGAGAATGAACTACAATATGTGTTGATATGGTGGACTAAATGGCTATTTCTGCAGTTGGTCTTTGACAGATAGCTTTTGTTCTAGGTAACAATCGAATGCTCCTAATCGTTTCTTTTAGCTGAACATGGCTCTTGGAGTCTTTTGTGGGCCTTACAATCAAGTAAAAGACTCTTTATTATTGATCATTATCAATACCACCAGTGGTTTATTATTGAAAACCAATATACAGAGGAAGAAGATATTTAGAAGTCTTCAAGAAAATGATGGTGATTGGTGCATACTTCAACACCTTTTAGGTTGTTGTCTCCTTGCATAGGCACGATTTGGGTTCCCTGGGATCCTGAAAGAAAGGAAAATTTATGAAGCTATTCGTTGTTTCTTCAAGTTAGCATTTTCATGTTATGATGTGCAGCAGTTAATGCAATTGTGTCTTCCTCTGTCATGTCACCTTTCCTTAACGAAATATGGTAAGTGTCCTTGAGATATGATTCTTCAACATCTTTCGATGAATACACACAACTCCCTTTCAGATTTCATTCACTTTCTTCTGTTCTGTAGGAAAGAAATGCTATATTTAGTTACATCGTATGGTAATGTGTAACATGTTGATAGAACTGTAGTTGGATATGCTTCAGGTATCCCTGTATTCTTCTTTCCAAATGTCTTGAAGGAGGTTGTGCTTTCTAAAGCTAATCTCTTTAGTTGAACTCTGATTTCCGTTCCTTCTCTATTCACGTTTTAATAATATGGCTGCCTTTGTGCATGGGTGAGACAGATTATGCTTTTCTCCAAATGATGAACTCAGAGACTAGTAAGCGTGCTGGGGAATACAGATTGAGATAAATGATCTGATTATATAGTTCTCCTATCTTTTCTATATTATTTATTCTATTTGTAAGATACATGTTCAAAACTTTGCGGGATTTATCCCATGACACAGGATTACCACCTCTTTGCTTAGGTGAGCTGGTCATGATATATGCTTCTGAGGTTCTACAAAAGTTACATAATCACTGATAGATTGAATGATTCTTTTTCCCTTTTTCCTTAGATGATTATGTATCATCTGCTGTGTGGAAGCTACACTACTACCAGTGGGCATGCAAATATTTGAGCAATATAATTTTAATGAAGGTGCTTGCCAGTTTGCTCTTGCTGCACTTAAGCAAGTTGATGAAGCTAGGAGTCTAAGAGATGGATCTCATGTGCGTCGCACACTTGATGAGTCAGTGGTTACTATCAAGGGGCGGTTGTGGTCAAATGTTTTTAAGTTTACTTCAGACCTGAATCACTTCCATGATGCATATTGTACAATAATCTCAAATCCGGATGGAGAGAGCAAGCAGATCTGCCTCCTGCGTTCCATTATAGTACTTTATGAGCTCAGAGCAATGAAGGTTTGAGGCCAACTTTTTAGATTATTGTGAGCATGTTCGGTTCTGCCTATGCATGATATTATTAGTTATTACATGTTCTAAGCCCACACAGAATGCAAACCAATTCTTTTTCCAAACCCTTTTGGAAAAAATGCCTTATAAAATTTTATTGTCGTTATCTCTTGAATGCCCGTTCCTTCCCGCGCTCCCACCGTCTTTCTTGTTCCGTTGTTTCCTCTTCCTCCTCGTTGATCGCCTTACATGACTTGTTTCAATGGTTCTAGGGGATGGATGTGTGTGCAGAGTCACAAGGATGTCGAAGGGTCTCTGTTCGATGTGAAGAGGTGAGTCCGTTGTAGATAATTTGGATATTGATACATGCTAAGCAGAATTGGAATGCCGAATTGCTCTTTTCTAGCTGATGCATGCTTATGTTCAGTATGTTATTGAGTTTCCTCTCCATTACCATCGTTTTTTGTTGGTTTGGTGGTGGTTCTTGCTTGCAGAAATGTACAGCTGCGGTTTCAGCTTATTGTGATGAATCGACGCAATACAGGGTAGTTTTATCATCACTCATGCTATCTTTATTCCCCCATTGTGTAGATAGCTCGGTAGAAGATAATGTTTAGTGTGATAAAGGATTACTTAACAGGGTGATTGGGAGGTTATGTGATTGGGAGGTTATGTTTAGTTATTCAGTCTAATGCGATGTTGCATGCCAATTACACTAGATCAATGGATTTATACATTGATATCAATTTAAACCAAGGGATTGCAGATTGCTAGCCGTGACAGTTTGTTACTTTTTTGGGAAGCTTTCTACGCACATGCTCGTCCAGATTTTGTTGATACCCGTGCCGTCTCTTCGTAAGCCCTAATTTGGATGGTTATAAGATATACAAGTGCAGTTGTTTTCTTTTTTCTTCTCGGACACAAATTGTGGGTGATCAATGAAAGGAATCTGTTAAGGTTGTTGGGAACGCGACTAATTGGTGGTGCGATTTGCGTATAGTGGTTGTTGGTTGGTTTTTACAGTAGCAAAATTGACGGTTTGGTTTTTTCGTTTGATTAATCCAGTTAGGGGGTTGGGTGCGGCCATGACTGTGTGCTCTGTTGCGGGTATGACTTTGTGAGGAAGAAAACCAAATGTTTTGTGATCCATGTTGATGTTTTGCCGCTTGGGGGAGAAGTCTCCTCTGGAATAATTCTTAAGGTGCCTTGAATTTCTTATGCCGGATGGAAAATCTTAGAGTTGTGCCTTTGATGATTCACTTGCTGCAGTAACATGTGAATTAGAAGCTTTTGCTAAAGTAGACTAATACTAGTGTTGTTATGGTTTATAATTCCTGATTATGCTTGTCCAATTATTTTTGTTTCCATCTGGTTGCACCATATATCTACACCTATTGAGTTGCTTCATTGAAGTTCTGCAATGTTTGATTCAGTCTGTGGTCACCTTGTATCCCCATTGCAATCTAGTGATCCACAAATCTGTAGCCATGTTGGTATTCGATGCCCTTTTTAAAGTCCTGGATGAAAACTTTGGAGTAATTAATCCACTCCAGTTGCCCTTCTGCTGTATTCTATTATGTGAAAATTACAGGAGTCCTAGAAGGGAACTTTGGAATGACTAATAGTAATCAAGTAAAATACATGGATTGGTGGCCATGTTTGAGAAAGAAACTTGGTCCGGAAGTTGTGTCCCGTTGCCCCCACAATTGAAACTGTCTCCAGTCATTCCAGTTGCCCTTCTGCTCTAACCTTGGTCTAGAAGTTGTGTCCCGTTGTCCTTACAATTGAAACTGTCTCTAGTCTTTCCAGTTGCTTTTCAGCTCTAACCTTGCCCAGTAGACGCCCTTACTATAGTCCTAGATGGGAACTTTGGAATGATTAATAATACTCACTGTGAAAATGCTTGGATTGGTGGCCATGTTGAATAAGAATGCTGTTTGTCCCAACTTGAGGATCATTAATCATTCCAGTTGCCCTTCTGCTCTATCTTGCTAAGATAATTTCATTAATGGAGTCCTAGAAGGGAATTTTGGAATGAGTGCAAGATACCAAATGAGATATACATGGACTGGGGGATGAGATAGCATGCCTACCCATAAAAGGGTTGAAAAAATGACACCCCTATTAATTATAGGTTTTTAAGGTAATTAATTTGTGTTGCATTTAATAATCTGTATGAATTAAAAACACATATTAATTACTTTCCTTTTTCAGTGCACTGGTAGTTGTATCAGTGCACTGGTATACTGAACTCATATTAATTACGTTCCTTTTTTTGGAACTACCATTGCAGTGATACATCTATCATTGCACCTGTACACAACTACCAGTGCACTGATACAACTACCAGTGCATTGAAAAAAGGAAAGTAATTAATATGTGTTTTTAATTCATACAGATTATTAAATGCAACATAAATTAATTACCTTAAAAACCTATAATTAATAGGGGTTGTCATTTTGCCAACCCATACAAGGGTTAGCATGCTAACCGACCCCATGGACTGGTGACCATGTTGTTGCTCTAAATCTTGTGTCCCTTTGTATCTCAATTTCATGTGATCAGGACACTTTGTTAATTGAAAGCCCAAGCCCTATATTATGTCGTCAGGTTTTAGTTTATCATGTACTTACTATTATCCCTGGGGTTGGTTCACCAAATGTTGTGTCCCTACGTGTCTTTGTTTGAGATGATAATGATCATAATTAGTTGCCCCTCTGCTGCATCTCAAGTTCAATCATGACAGTTTTGAATGGAAGTCCTAAATCGGATTCCTAGAGGGGGAACTTTCTAATCATCAAAATTGGATATCTGTTATGTTCAAAAGTTGACATGTTTACTCTTCATTCTAGTTGCCCTTTCTCATAAGAGTAATTTACTTACCGCAGCCTCTGCCCAAAATTTTGATCTTACCGAGTAGACTTTATGTGCAACATGAAATCCTCTTGGTTATGATTACAATCATGCATTGTGTATTATGCTTACATGCTGAGAGAGAGAATATTATATCCTTGGTTCATAAATGAAGAAGTTAATATGACTATTATGAATTTATGATCTCTCTTTATGTGATAAAGAGCAGAGACTCATGACTCTTTTGAGTTATGCCAGTGTAATGTGATTTGGAGGCATAATGGAAATTGTGTTTTCTGGCGGTTGTACATGCCATTTTTTTTTTTTTTTTTTTTATAGAGGGCCTTCGAATCTGTTGCAAGCTTATGAAACCCATATGCCTTCCGCTTATTAAAAGTTCTTGTTGAATTTTGTAGTGAAATTTGGTGAATACTTGAGAGGAGTCCTAGAAGCTGTCCTACTCAAATGTTTGGTAGACATGGCAAGTATTACAGTTCTCTGTAAGTGATGCGTGCTACATTCAAGTGATTATGATGCGTAGCAGCCTGTTATTGTTAGTAGAAATGAAAGATTCTTACATAACACCATAATTTTCTGTCCATAATTATCTGCATCGCCATCTTGTGAGCATGTTTTGGAAGGTCAGGGCAACCCTATCTGTTATGTTAAGTTTCGTTTCTTTTTGTTGAAGATTCCAGGATGTTGATTCTTCTGTGCTACTTGTGTTGTCCATTTAATATGTCCTTTGAAGCTTTGGAAGTTCTGATGGTATCCCAACTGTGATGCAACCCCGCAAACCGTGAATTTTGATGGCAGTAATACCTTGGGTTGGGTGATTAGTAATGAGCTGAAGCTGATCATCTATTGATTACATATGTATCCTCATGAATTCTATCCACCTGATGTTTCGAAGTTGTATGTTGAGATCAGTTGCCTTCACAAACTCAAAAATTCTGATCCAATTTAGTTGTGGTGACGCTATTGCTGGTGCTATTACCTTAATTTCGTAATGAAAATCATTGTTTCCTCTGTTATTTATGCTATTAAGGAACTGATGTTTGTAAAATGTCAGTGTACCATTATGATTGTGAACATGAAAGCTGCTGTTGGATTTTTGACTGACCAAAGCAATTCCCTTCCATCTGATTTTGTGTGGGAAGTACACAAGTATAGATTCTTATTGCATCCTGCAGCTATTTATTCCTGGCAGATTCTCAACCCAGTAAAGGATGAACTTACAAGCATGGTTAGACAAAGAATGGAATGTCACGCTGAATGTTTAATTGTTTTTTTGATTTTTTTTTTTTTTTGATAGGAGACTGTTTAATTGTTTATGCATCATTTACCTGGTTCTTTCAAGGATACAACTAGACCTTTGGCAAATGGTGGATATGGATGGCAAAACAACACGTGCTTAATTAAATCTGAATGTGATTTTGTCGGTAAAAAATCCAACCGATATTATTTTTGGTTGGATTTTTCTCGAACCCGACAAGGAAGATTATGAAGTTGGTGTGATTTTGGTATTTTAAATACCTAGACGGCTAAGCCCAATCAATAACAATAACCGACAGCCGCAGCCCGAACCGTTTATTCTGTTTTATTCACCCTCCGGAGTCCGGAGTCCGGCCATGGCAACAGCCGCTCCCTCCACGCCTCTGCCACTTCAGGACCGGGTAGCGATAGTGACCGGCTCTTCTCGAGGTATCGGGAAAGCCATAGCTCTCCACTTGGGCTTACTCGGCGCACGGCTCGTCATCAACTACACCTCCAACAAGGAACAAGCCGACCTCGTCGCCGCCGAGCTCAATTCTTCTTCGTCAGCTCCACCGCGAGCAATCACCGTCCAGGCTAACGTCTCCGACCCAGCCCAGGTGAAGACCCTCTTCGACGAGGCGGAGAGGGCCTTCGGTGGCTCGCAGGTCCATATCCTGGTAAATTGCGCTGGCGTGCTGGATTCCAAATACCCTTCCATCGCTCACACTTCCGTGGAAGATTTCGATCATACATTTGGGTAATTTTCGAGGAAAACGCAAGACCCGAATTCATTTTTGTTGAACTTTGCTTTTGGGGAGAGATTTTGTCATTTTCATGTAAAAATGTGTCTCCATTTTTTCCAGTGTGAATACTAGAGGGGCGTTCCTTTGCTGCAAGGAGGCGGCGAATCGAGTGAAACAAGGCGGCGGAGGGAGGATAATCCTGCTATCATCGTCGATGGTGGGTGGTTTGAAACCAGGGTTTGGAGCCTATGTAGCTTCAAAGGCAGCTGTGGAGGCGATGGTAAAGATTCTGGCGAAGGAGCTCAAGGGAACTGGGATTACTGCCAACTGCGTGGCTCCTGGTCCGGTTGCCACGGAGATGTATTATGCTGGGAAGTCCGAGGAGATGATACAGAGGAACATTGATGAGAGCCCGTTAGGCCGAATTGGTGAACCAAAGGATATTGCTACAGTTGTCGGGTTTCTGGCTACTGATTCCAGTGAATGGATCAATGGACAGGTAATCCGTGCCAATGGTGGCTATGTGTAGAACTAGAGAAGAACCATTTGTTCAAAACTCCGATGAATGGTTGGTGTTGTGGGGAAATATGGGTTGCGGGAATAGATCAGCAATGCCATGGAGTAGTTTGATATGTCAAGCTATGGGGTTCTAGTGTTATCTTTGCAAGATCCCTTACACGTACTGCTTAGCAATAATAGTGGGAAGTCTGGATTTGAGTGGAAGTAGGATTGTTGTACTTTACTCAGGTTGATGCTTTAATGATATAGCCTTTTGAACATAGACTCTGTTGATGCTTAAGGTACAAAACGTACATCTCTTACTGTAACCTACTCACTTTTAGATTGAATTCATTCTTCCACGAGTGCTTGGCTCGTAAGAGCAAGTGATCTTGGTAATAGGCTGTCTGCCATGGTCATGCTCGATGGACGCTGGCTCATCTCCTGACAAAAATCACTAGTCATTCCTTCCACAACAGGTTTCATCAATTCCAACTAAAGCCATTCAAGTCAAGCTGTTTGCAGCCTGAAGTAGCATCAATCTCATCGTGGGAGTTCAGGTCCAGCTTTGTACCGAAGTAAGGCAATGGATATCCTTGTGACAATTTTTCCTTCTCTGGGATGACTGAATCTGACTGCTTGTTAGTTTGGTCAGGGAATATGTCAGTCTCAGTCCTTCCTTTGTATCTTCCTTCAGAAAACATATTACTTGCATTCCCTCCTGCATGGAGTCCCACACTCATGGATAAATCACTAGCGCTTCTGTCAGTAGGGAAAACTCTCCTTTCGGCAGTTTTGCCAAGAGATGATAGAAACATATTATTATTTTCTTTCATGTCTTCTCTCCACCTGATGTCAGACTGCTGTAGCATTTTCCCTTCAGGAAGTTCTTTTGCCTCCAAGAGATTACTACTGATGTAGGGCCTCAATCCCATCCCTATGTTGTGCATCTCTTGTTCCTTTTGGGATCCTTCACAAGAGGTGAGACAGCTGTCAATCGAACAATCATTTGGCTGGTTTGTTTGTGTGTGCTGGGGGCACAGACCCTGCAGTTCTTTCAGCTCTGAAAATGAAGAACTGAGACACTGAGTAGATACTCTCGAGACGAGTTCTGAGAGTTGAACTTTGGCCGCCTCAAGTCCTACTGCACCTAAGTTCTGCTTCCCGAGGGTTTCCTGTGCTTTCTCAAGCACTGATTGTAGGTATTTTCCTTGTGCCTCTATACGAAGCTGTAAATGTCTCTGTACCTGGTCCAATTGCATGTTTTAGATGAAAGTAGTTTGACTATAAATCCTTATGCTTATTATGAATATGAAATGACTTTCGCATTGTAAGTATTGGCTTACCTCAAGCTGGTCATGCAACCTTCTCTGAACTTCAATTTGCATCTGTAGTGCTTCGCCGATGTGTAAGCTTCTGAAGTAAGAAGTCATTTTAGTTTTGACAGAAAAGTGAAAAGAAACCTCATGATGGTGGTACACAGAGTCATACTTGTTTGCTTGGGGTGCAATACTCGAGTTACTCGAATGAGGTTGAGTTGGTTCAGGTACTCTCTCTATAGCAACCGCAAGAGGACCTGCGTCAAATCATTTTACTTCAGAACCCTTTGCTGTCAAATTATTTGATGATTGGAAGGAGTACTTCAGAACCGTAAATGAGTTGGAAATGTTGGCAGAATGCTATGATTGGCATCTTACCCATCTTGTTGCTTCCACTATTAGCCTGTCCATGAAGATTTTTGCTGAGCCTGTACTTCTGTTTCATTAAATGTGGAATACGAGTTACACATATGCCACAAATAAGACAGTTATATTTTTGGCTTATCATTCTCTAATACAAGTAGAAAGAGTAGAGGGTACTACTCTGTTGCTTTTTGCTAATTGGACTCTTTACTGCACATCAGATACTCTCCTCTTTCAGATTCTGATTTAATAATCTTTATTTTTTAATACTTGTAAGTGAAGGAACTTTAACTAGAATAGTGAGGTACGGAAGGCACTAACAGTTATTGCATCCTGTTACAATAGAAGAAAAATTCGTTTTGCATTGTAATTTGCTGGATGGTATAATCTACTCAAACATTAGTTCTAAGAGAAGAACAACTAGTGTTACTGAGCATCATATAAGTAGTTACCTGTAAGTGGCTCTTTAGGTGGTATAGTGTGAGCCCAGGAATTCCCATAAGTTTCATAACCGTTTTTGGAGTAGCCTCTGCAGAGTAAGCAATTCAAGAAAATGGCTATCATTGAACATAAATTCACATTTCTTTCAGAAATTGGATTGGATTGAAATACGTTTTGGTCAATACTTACTGTCTGCTCCTCCTAGCTGGTTGACTGCTTCCACGAAACGTTCATGCAGGTCTGGTGTCCATTTAAGTCTTGGCTTTGCATCTGTTGAAAGGACAAGCCCTGAGTCTCCTGGGCCATTCCCACCTTGCAGGAACAAATGCCTCTCTGATGGGATTGGTATTCTTGAAGAAGGGTGCATGCTCTTGCCTTGCTGATGATGGTACATATCTATCCCCCAAGAAAACTGAATTTTGATGTAGGGAGGAGAACTTACACTTGATATTGCAATCAGGAAAAATGTCTTCTTTACCTAATGCCTTGTCTTTTCACAGTTGATCCAATCTGTTACAGCCTAAGAAGTTGAACTTGTTTAAGAAACACTCTTCTGGGACAACCCAACTGCCTGGTGTTTCCCCCCCCCCCCCAAATATGTGATTGTTCTGTTTGCTCTTCCTTGTTCTCTTTATCCCATGCCCAATGCATACTGACCAAAGGTCTGCTCTACTATGTCCTTATAAAGAGATGAGATGGAGGAAGAGAATGGGAAGCTATAGACGCATAGAATCTTTGATAAAGCCAACATAATGCCCTACCCAATCTTATATTCACAGTGAGTTGAAAAGAGATATTGTCCTTCCTTTTTTGTTAAATGAGGGAGGGCCTTTACTCTAAACTCTACTTTCCATTGTAAGAGAATTCCTCCTCACATTAACTCTGGGAAACTCCTTCACGCCTTGAATTGGATACTGGGAATTGATCCACCAAGCTTTTCTTTAGTTGTGTGCATTCGTATTTGTCCATTGGGCAAAAAGCAAGAATCTTATTCCTGGATGTGAGAGGAATTTTTCTGACCTAGAAGAGGGGAATCAATTATCTCTGCTATCTCGAGCCCTTCTTTCATCCCTTTCCGTCCTTATGGAAGATTCTCAGATTTGAGATATCTCTGTCCCTCACCCTGGTCTTGAAGTTATAGTTTCAGTTGTCAATGCAATATTAAATTAGTGATGATCTACACTCTATATGATAGGGGTACTAATGCCTTCAAATCTATAACCAAGGTAGTGGATGGAGACAGCATACGTTGTTTAAGTGGTCATATTTAGAGAATATAGAAGGGGATTCTATTGACTAGAGCACCTTAAGACTTCGGTATTAGATACAACCGAGAGAAGAAACGGGAAAACTGCAAAAGAAATGGGAAAATCGCAAAAGAAATGGGAAATGGGGGTGAAGATGCTTCTCCTTCAACATTGTCTGAAGGCAAGGAATGGAACAAGAATACATTCTTTTCTGTCCCCTTCGGTAAGTTTGGTACTTATTCAGTCTCATACAGCATAAAATATAAGAGGGTGCAAACCCTTTCCATTCTTCAACTGGCAGAAGACAGCTGGCCCTGTACCGGCCGAATTCTCCCTGGGACCTCAATGAAAGAGAAAAAAGAAGGTTGTACTTGCTTGGATACTTTCACTTGACAAAGGACAAGACGAGTCTGCCACGGAGAACTAATGCCACTCAGTTACCAAACTCTATCTTGTATGAATCTACAAACTTAACATAATGCTCTGCTGTTTCTCTTTCTTCTCGATGTTCTTCATGAAGCTTGATTGGCATCATCTTATATAAAAATGTGATACATGTGCACTTAATAACCTTTTGACTGATTTCATGCAAGACTACATATGCATTTATATTTGTCTTTGTTGTTCCCTTGTGTTATCCTTCTCTTCAGTTTGCTTGCAGAGTAGAGGTATAACTGTTGTTCGTGTGTAAATGGTTTAACTTGTCTTGAGATGTTAGAATAATCTGCATGCTTATGTTTTGGAACTGTTTCCTTGAAGTTTTAAAGGTGTACTTATATTGCAACTGCATGTTCTTTATACTTGTGCTGTTATATCATATTGCAAAAGGATTAGTTCTTTGTGGTGATCATCGGGAATTAATACTATACCTATTTTATAAAACAGAATAGCTTCTCCATTATCAACAGCTAATGCAGAATAAATGCATTCATTAACTGATGTAGAATATTAAATCTGTCAGCTCAGAGCAGTGCAAGCATGCTCACATGCATATCATTTGTAAATTAATATAAAATTCAAGTTGTCGATTAAGAATCACAAGTTGGATATGTCGACACGAATGCTAGGATTGGATGATCTCTGTTCCCAAACTGCACTTGTAATGCAAGATCTCAGTTAAGCTCAGGTATGCACATCAAAGTTGCCAGTCCTGTCAATGGGTTTCGGCATTAGTTCCTATTGGCCCTTACATATGAAGATCACTTGATGCTGGGTTGTCAGGATATTTTAATATATACTTGTATGTGTGGGTATATGTATATTATTGTGTTTTATACAGTTCGGCAGAATCCAAGAAAAGGGTTCAGGTAAAGCATAAAAGAAGAGGTTCTTCAGTAGTCTACTAGCATGTGGATAGGAATCAATCACATAAGGGGAATGATAGCGTACGCTCCAAGTCATAGAACTATTATTATTATTATTATTTTTTTTTTTGTCTATGACATGGCATCACCATAAACGAGTCTTGCATTCTCTGCTGAGATTGGCAGAAAGTGTTTTCATGCATGCATAGCCATGATAAGTTAAGTGAAAGTTGGCATTGACCTTTCTTTTCCATTGTGAGTGAATGAATGGAATCACGTTAGTTTGATTGATGATGATTTATGCTACGCTGCAGGACCTGAACTTTTACAGTATACCATGATAAATACGGTTTCCATACAATAGGGGTAATCCAATCATTAGAAATTCTCTGAATCAGTTGTGCCTTAACTGTAAATAGTATAAACATGGTGTGTATTTCAAGTTTTAAACTTTCGTTTCATGTCTCAAAACAGAGTCACTTGATCTTTTGCCTATAATAGTAAAAGTGATGGTGCTTGTCTTTACAATAATGTTGCCAAAAACCCCCTCCCTTGATGAGCATGAAAAGCAAGCTCAATTCTCTCTATCTCCCTCTTTTCTTTGTTTTCTTATGTAGTACTAGAGAATACTTCTTACCCCTTTCACTTTTAATGTTATCTGACTGCAACTGTATTGCCTTCTTCCCTTCTTCTCTGGATGATTTATATATTCTCCCACTTTGGATAAAAGAGGGAGAAGTGGGGTGGGGAAACTTATATTTCTTCCTTGTACTTACATTTCCTTTTATGGATTCTCATACTACTGAAATGCATATATTCCCTTTTCTTTTCAGGGCAGGGAGAAGCTCTTGGAAAGAGAAACATGCATGCATATAAAAAGATCACTTGTTCGAATCAATGCAAATGTAGCTACCAGCCAATTGCACGGTGAGATTGCACACGTCAGAAGCTCATTGGCCACTCGTGTTTCTTCGAGCTCCACAGGCATGCAAACTGAGAGAAATGACCACGGAATGTATTCTGTGTTGACAACAAACAAATAAGAGGGCAGAGGAGGAAGGCCAGCCGTGAGATGGGATTCTGAGGGGAATCGGAATGTTGGAATCTTAACTCAAGCTTAAGCCAAGAAGTCATATTCTCAAGTCAAGAATTTTGGAGGGAGTTATTCTTCACTACCCCAAAGCCACTGAAAATGGGTTCCTTCCTTCCCACCTCCCTCTTGTCTTTTCTCTTTTGGTTGCTTTCTGAGCAGTTTAGATGCCTCTCTCTCTCTAGCTCTGTGATGATTTGTCTGCGTTGTGATGTTGAGAGGAATCTTGCCATGTTTAGGGATTTTCTTAGGTTTGTCACTTTTGCATCAATTGTTCCCTTTTGCCTGTTATATATATTCTTCTTTGGCTGACAGGAACCGGCTGATGAACTTGATGATGGTCCAAAAATCCCTTGTGATGATTTCCAATATTGGCGACTTCCAAAGGTCTACAAACTTGGTCCTTTCAATGCTTACTTTAATTGAGTGCATGTTTGGTGCTCTGATTTGATTTTTCCAGTTTGATTAGCCTGAAAATGGCTGTGATTTTGCCCCGTAATAATATCTATGCTGAATTAGGGACAAAAATTAACAGGATTCGTCCGGTGGGAGATGGCAAACTTCTCTTTTCATTTTGGGCTCAAATTTTGCTGCTACATATACATTGTTAAAGAACTAGATTTGGTCTCGCCGGTTGGCCGAATAAATTTTGGAAACAGTATAAATAAAAATTGTAATCGTCTAAATAAAAATATGTCTTATTTTCAGTGTTGTCAAAATCGAACCGGACATCGATCCGAATTAATGAGAGGTTCACGGTTTATCGAATAACCATTGATTAGCCGGAATTGAAAACCGGTACACTCCAAAAAGCAAGAAATACAGAAAAAGAATGAGAAAAAAGGTGAAACCCAAAAAGTAGGAGGCTATAAGCTATTAGGGGTGGAAGTTTGGTTTGCGGGTTGCGAGTAACCTGCAAACCGTACCAAACCGCACACTTTGTGGATACCTATACCCACAATTTGTGGATAGTGAGTTGGGTGTGGGTAGCAAAATATTGATTTTTGTGGTTAGTGGTTAACCAATAACCACTACCCACAGCGGTTTACCACAAAATTCACATTAACCACATTAGTTATATTTATTTCTTCAAAATACTTTGTAACACACATTAACCACATTAGTTATATTAGTTTGTGAAACTTGGAAGACTATGAATTAAAGTAGCTACCAAAATAAAAAACGCACTTATTCTATAAAACAAAATCAAGTCAATACGCAATGTTCATGTGAGATACTTTTATTAAATAAGCATTGTCCCTGTGCTATATGTTTATTTTATAACAAAACCAAGTCCATAGATATAGTCAGATAAATTAATCGATTCGTTAAAAGAGGGGAATAATCGATAAAGGTTAGTTAGATACCCAAACTCATCTCCATTTCTCCACGAACTCACAAACAACACAACATGCAACCAACTACCAACAACACAAGACTATAATCGAGAGAGGAGAATAATCGATTCATTAAAAGCGGGCGCCTCCACTTATCGAGCCACTTTTGTGTTTTGTTGTTGTTGTCATCGAAGGAGTCGTGACATGCAACGATGTTAGTCTAGTAACATATCACTCCGCCTCTCCGTTATTTCAAATCTCTTTCCAAATCCATCACTTCTGAATTTACACTAACTAACCTATTGTATTCGAGATTTATAATTTATTTTACACTTTATTAACTTTCTTTTATGTATGTTTTTGCTTTTGTGTGAGAAGAAATACAACATCACTATTTAATTACAATATTATTATATTTAATGTGAAATTTGTGGGTATCCACAACCAACCCGCACCAACCCGCAACGGGTAGTGGTTAACCACTACCCACTGCGGGGCGGGTTGTGGGTAGCATAATTTTGTATTTGTGGATGTGGTTGCCCGCAAAATGTGGGGTGGGTAATTTCCACCCTATAAGCTATAGCGTGTACATGTAGGATTACTTTTAGTTTCCGTTACCTAATTTTCTTTTATCTAAGTGTATTTTATTATTATCAATTTTCTATCAGTGGAAGCCGAACACACAAAGGTTTACAAAAAAATAGTGGATAGTCGAGATACAATTTGGGCTCCCACTCCCTTAGCTATAGAAAAACTAAGTCCAGTAAAAATGTACGCG